GGGGCTCGAACCCACGAACTGTGAGATCACAACCTGAGCTGAAGTCGGGCGCTTAACCGGCTGAGCCACCCAGGTGCCCCTTAGCAACAGCTTTTACCTCGTGGGCATAGTGACCCACAGCAAGCTTGTCTAAACAGACACTGGTCTGGGAGAACCGTGAACTCAGCAGTCTGTGAAGGCGACTCCATCAGTAGGCTTATAGGACCTACGCTTGTGTTCGTACCCTTCTTATGACAAATGACACAGAAGACACAGAAAAACGGTGACTATCTCTGAGAGGAAATGGGTCAGTAAAACCCAAGAGCGCTCTATCAAATTTACCAGAGTCATTAAAACCGAGGAACGACCTCTTCGTATGTTTTTTCCCTGCTCATTTCAATTTAGAGACAGAGAGAAAGGACTCCCCACTTTTGCTCCACCAGATGCCGCAGACAGAGATTCTGGGCTGCTGCTGTGGTAAGAATTCTTACCTCTGCTGGCTGTTTGTCCTAGGATCTCTCCTCTGTAGCGTCTCCAGCCAGGACAGTCTACCCTGCTAGCCACGCCAACTATTGAGGAGGAAAAGTCTTCCTCTACTCCTCAAGGTTCTTCTGGCTGGTCTAAGAATTAACTTGATATGTGGGGCGCCTGGGTGGCTCCGTCAGGTTAAGCGTCCGGCTTTGGCTTAGGTCACGATCTACTACGCTGGCAGTCTGAGTTGAGCCCGAATCGAGGAGCTGTGCCAGGAGAACCTGGAACCTGTTTCGGATTCTGTGTCTCCCTCTCTCTCTGGCCCTCCCCCGTTCATGCTCTGTCTCTCTCTGTCTCAAAAATAAATAAACGTTAAAAAAAAAAAAAAAATTAAAAAAGAAAAGAAAAAAGATGGCAATCACAGACAGATTAGCAGGAGGAGATCGAATTTAATTACATACATGCAGGGAATTCACATAAACGTGAGCGATTCCCGAGACCGTCAGGCAAGATGAGGTATCTGTGCCATCTTGGACTAAGGGGCATGGGGTAGGGGTCTGGGGCCTCCGAGCGAAGGAAGGCAGTGCCCCCCTGGAAGGACGGGAAGGGCCAAGGTTTGGTGAGCAGGTCGCTGCTGGGCCACCCAGGAACAACGGGACAAAGGGAGGATTTGGATCAGACAGGCCTTGCTGGGCTCCTCCCTGTCGACCAAGCCAAGTTCATGTCACGCTGCCATTATCTGTGGTGACGGCTCCCTTCCTGGAGGAGGTCCTCTATAAAAAACCATTTTAGGCCACTGGGGAGGTGGGAGGTCAACGTTTCTTCCTGAGTCTTGTGGGCCTTGACTGCTGTCAGCTCGAAAAAAATCCACGTGCCCAAATTAGCGCATCTTAGGGCATCAGACCCATTCAGCTGAAATGATGCACGAAGTTCTTAGGGTCTCAAGTCACAGCCAGTGGGGGCCGAGACCCCCACTCAAACCTCCTCGTCAGGGTCCAGCACTCTTTGTCATCCACCCCTCTGCTCTCTTCTTGGTCATGTGCCAGAGCCAAGGTGGGGGGGGGGTCACATTCTGCCTGTCATGGGTGTGATGGCACCTCGCTTGGCCAGCGGACTTCAAACAGGCTCTGGAGTTGTTCACATATGGGTGTGAATCTCCCGGTTTGCAGAGACTCAAGTTAACCCCGTTTCTCCCGCTGTGAGATAGCAATGATAGTACCTATGTCATAGGATTGCTATCAAGATGAGAAAAGGTAACAGATGTGAGATGTTTGATCTGCCCACGGCGAGCACTAATTTGACGGTGGTTAATATTTCCATGTTTGGGGCCCCTGGGTGGCTCAGCCGGTTACGATCTGACTCCCGATTTCGACTCAGGTCGCAATCTCAAAGTTCGTGAGCTCGAGCCCTGAGTCGGGCTCTGCGCTGACAGCTCGGATCCTGCTCGGGATTCTGTCTCCCTCTCTCTCTGCCCCTACCCGCCCCCCCCCCCAAAATAAGTAAATAAACTTTCAACACTTCCGCGTTTACGGTGATTGATTGATTCACTTATCCAAAAATACGCGTGCCAAGCCCGACGCTAGGCTCTGAGAAGACTCGAGTAACACACAGCCTGTGTTTCCCAGAGCTCAGTCTAGGGATGGGGGCAGACGTAAACAGGTGATCTGGTGTGGTGACATGCATGGGTAAACGAGGTCCCAAAGTGCGCACGGCGCAAAATGCCCGTGGGAGCTGAGAGGATGGACAGAGGATGCTGATTCCTCTTTTCCAACCCACCTGTCTATTCCGTCTCAGCTTTCTCAAGGCCCAGCCTGCCCACCTTGTCCCTAGAGACTGAATCCTGTCTTTGTGGTGCTAGGTCTCCATGCCCCCTCCACCTCTGGGGGA